TATATTTCAGAGAGGGAAGGGAGTGGGAGAGAGAGCTAGAAACATCAATGATGAGAATCATTCATCAGCTGCCTCCTGCACACCCTGCACTGGGGATCGAGCCTGCAACCCGGGACCCTTCAGACCGCAGGCCGTCGCTCTATCCACTGAGCCAACCCAGCTAGGGCCCCAACTTCCTGTCGCGTCTCCTTTCCAGCACACGACACAGCGAGAGGGAGGTGAGAACCAGCCCCAGACACCAGAGTAAGTGGGAAAATATTCAATCCCCTCATCCCAGCAGCACACGCGTCTAGAGGTTCCTCTCTGGCTGCCACCCTCCTCGCGTTCCTGTTTCTCCTCTCTCCCTCGCACGTCCGGCGCCGGCTCTGCCAGCCTGCAGCTCCGAGCCTGCGAGGAGCAGTGCCTCGCTGTGGCTGAACAAATAACATGTTTTGGAAACGCAAGCAACCCTTCCCGGCTGGGCGCGGGGAGGGAGGGAGCCTCTGGCAGCAGCATCCTGCCAGGGCTGCAGCTAGAGGAGGCAGAGAGGCCAAAACCTGTCCCCGGACGCCAGGAGAGCGTGTCCCGCTGTAATGCTTTTCATATGGATGCTAGCATCCCAGTCAGCAGGAGAAATAGTATCCTTGCGACCTTCTGGGGTTCAATTGGTAAATATAAATAGATATAGTGAGCCATGCGGAGTGCAATGATGGTCAATACGCAGAGTGCAAATGCTATCACCTGTAATAACCAGACTGTTGACTTCAGGTTCAGACTTGGTTGAAGGTGCGCCCGGAGCGAGGAATTCCACCTTCGTGTGCCCCTCAAGAGAGGCAAACCTCCTGTCTGAAATGATAGATGGCCACGGTTTGGGGAACGTATTCGATGCTTGCAAGGTCCTCCCTTCCCCTGCCCAGCCCTGCACCTGCTGGGCCCCCGTGTAGGATGAATGAATGACCTAGAAGTGCCCGGGCCCCGGCCCCTTGCAGCTCCACGTTTGTGTCATATGAGCTTCGTCTCTGTGGAGGGGCATGTGACTCGGCGATCTGTGAGGGGAGAGTATCAGACACATCACCCAGGTCCTCCAATAATGGCGAATAATTGGGCCATTAGATTATTATCAAATTCTGGCCATTGGAATTTTTTTTTTTTTTTTGCGATCTGAATAACAATATTAATTCATTCTTTCCGAAGCCACCCGTCCGGCATGCAGATTGCAAAATCCAGCATACAGATGCAGGCTCGGGATTGTTTTTTGCAGACCATGCTGAAAAGTTGCGTGCTTTCAGGAGAGAGGAAGAAGTACAGATGGATGATTAAATGAGAACAGCGGTCCGAGGCTGGGTGGCCTCCTTCTTCGAACAGACTTTGGAGCAGAAACACCGTTCAACAGTCATTGAAAGCCCTCCCGTGCTGGTCAAGCCTCCGAAGAGCCTGTGTTCTGACTGAAGTATTATTTCTGCTGCAAGATAAGCACCTTTTGCGAAGCAAACTGAGTAATTGGTGACAAGCCCTCCCCCCCTCCCTCCCCCTGTACGCATAGGATTCTAGGACTGCACAGAGGCATCCCTCGAGTGAAATCACATATAAATAGAATGTGAGAAATCACCACATCTTCTAGACTTCACACTCGGGCTGAAAAACAAAACTCCATTGTGCCCCGACATAGCCTCTCTCTCTCTTTTTTTTTCTCTCTCTCTTAACCTAAGGATTCCATCCTATTATTCTATGTTGTGTATTCTAATGAGCCCCTGAAAACCTCAGCCGCCTGGTCCATGTGTGCGGCCTCCCGCCCTGCCCAGAGGCAGCCTGCTGGCTCAGGCCGCTAAACTGGGCCAATCGCAAGTGTAGTTTTCGTTTTCCGGTGTGTTTCGATTTTTTTCCCCAAAATGGTAGAAATTCAGACACAAACAGCACATTTGGAAAATTCGGTTGTGTGACGGTGTCAAAATCGCTCGATGCCGGCGCTGTAACCTCCTGTGATTAAAGAAGGACGTTGAGGAAAACGAAGGGCAGGCTATCAAGCAGTAATTTTAGTTTGATTTTCCAGAAAAATAAGAACCTGAAGGGCTCTCCCATCTGCCAGCCTTTTCAGTTCCTGTCGGCTTGTTCGGTTGCAAAATCTCGGGGATTTGGAAGAGATCTGGAACAAATTCTGCACAAAGAGCTTGCGTTAATGTCCATGCTTGTAATATAAGCCTGGACCATCTTTTTCCTCCTGTCACACCCTTAAGAGACCCTTTTTCTCAAAGGCAGTTACCTATAGAAATAACTTTATAAATTAGATTGTCTTGGAATGTGGTTTTATGCTCAAAATTCTTCCATTCGTTGAGGATTTTAAGTGACACAGAGAAACTTACTAGTATAAATGAGAAGAAATAGATTTTTTTTTTTACCCTAAATCCAAATAGATGCACTGACGTCTATGGCTGTGGCTCACGAACAAGAAATACTTTTCTTAAATGTTTGACTGATCTACTATTGCACAATCGTGCTTTTCTTAAAACTGTCCAAGGAGACATCCTTAGAAAGCATTGTCTGACTAGCATACACGCAATGGGCATTTCACTATTACCATACAACTCGTTTAGATGGTGCAGGTCCAAAGAAATGGTCCATTGAAAACGTATGTGTCTATTCTCAGTCTGCTTTTAAAAGCACATTTGAGCTAGTCCCACAAAAAGCCTAAATGCTCTGACTTTGATTAAATATCATTTCAGGGCATGAGACCTATAGAAATTTCTCTGCTAAGGCTCTCAAAGGTGAAACACACACTGTATTATGATTTTTAATGCAGCGAGTATGTCCTTACTTATAATTTTAAGGAATATATATATTATATATATGTATATAATATATATGTTTTTTATTGATTTAGAGAGAAAGGGAGAGAGAGGGATAGAAACATCAATGAGAGAGACATCAATCAGCTGTCTCCTGCACACCCCCCAACCGGGAATTGAAACGGGGACTTCATGGTTCATGGGTTGATGCCCAACCATTGAGCCACACTGGCCGAGCCAGTAACATACATGTTTAAATCCTACACAGTTAAGATGCATTATGTTAAGCTGTATCATATACTAAAAGTTAGCTCTGGCTTGGCAGAGCACACATAAATAAGGTTATGGTATTCTTTCAAGTTCATTATATACCCATTCTGTATAGAAACAACGGCTTGTATCGATCCTATAACTGATGCCAATATTCAAATACATTTTTCCATACACCACTTCACATTAACTCCATATATGGCGCACCTATTACAAACTTCAATATCTAGGCCAATAGGACTTTTAAAAACCCCTCGATAGTCATTTTAAGCATGTATATTGACATTTTTAAAAAACCAACTTGATTTAATGATTAACTACAGAGATTATAACCAACTGTAAATAAGTCATTTCCATGAATGGCCTCTCTCTGGGTGTCACACTGCCTCTCAGAGCCACTCTTAATATCCTCACTGAAACTGTTACTGACTAATGTGCTACATGTTAAAGCCAAATTGGGTTTTCACTCTTCTCTTGCCAAACGAGCTAGACAGAATGCCGCCTATAGCAAAACGCAAGCTCAGCCCCAAGCCCAGCCCTGGGAAAGACTGGCAAAGGTGGGGAGGTACCTGCAAATTCAAGAAAAAAATTAGTTTTGAATTTCCTGTGAACTAGTCTCAGGCGAGGCAAGTACCACGCTCACAGAGGCCATGAGCAGCAAGCATGTCAGTCCATGTCAGAGTACATCAGGAACGTTAACTGGAGAAACCATCCCTCTCAAAACATCTGATTTCTTTCAAGTATTTGAAATTTTTAGGGGAAAAAAAATCTTTGGGCCTGAATTAACTGGATAATTAATTCAACAATTTGAAGTTTGTAAGCAGATGCTTATAAGGTATTTGAGCTTAAAAAAAAAAATCTTTTCAAGCTACTGTTCCATTTCTAAGACCTCACCCTTTCCTGTTACGAAGTTTTCAGTTTAAGGAGTTCAGCTTCTTTCCCCAGAAATGACAACAATGAGTCAAGATTTTTAGGGAGTCAGTTTGCAAAAGTGCTAACAGTTTAATTTTTTAAATGTCTCTGAAAATGAATTAATATGTCTAAAAACCTCCAGTGACATCAATAAGCTCTGATTCCTTTTATAATATTAAGAAAATCTAAGAAGGGTTGGGTTAGAACCGTGGTCGGCAAACTGCGGCTTGCGAGCCACATGCGGCTCTTTGGCCCCTTGAGTGTGGCTCTTCCTAAGCCTTAGGAGTACCCTAATTAAGTTAATAACAATGAACCTACCTATATAGTTTAAGTTTAAAAAATTTGGCTCTCAAAAGAAATTTCGATCGTTGTACAGTTGATATTTGGCTCTGTTGACTAATGAGTTTGCTGACCACTGGGTTAGAACCATACACTGTTCCTTGTTACGTAACTAAATTCACTTGAATTTAGTCAAAAGATAAGTGTTCTACATCTTACACCACAGGATCGCATCATTTTGACCACAGGATCTGGAGCAAAGACATTTTGCCATGTTTCTGAAGGCAAAAGTAGAAAAATCCTACTTGTGTAATAAACTTGGACAATAGCCAAAATAAAACTCCTAAAAGCTATTTGCTTTTAAGAAATACATCTATTGCTTTATGTTTTACAATGGCATCATCTCTGGCATTTTAATGGCAAATGACTTAAATGAAAAGAATTGAGCTCTTCGTCCTGAATTTCAAAATTCACTTACTTGATTCCCTGTTCCTCATCAGCAATTTCAAACATTGCAATAATTACAACAAAAATTTAGATGAATAATCTATGGATTAAATCTAAAATTACCTGAGTTTCCTAACCAGATGCATGTAAAAGTATCCCTCATTATATTAGAAATAAAAAAAAAATGTTTTAATCTCTATAGGAAGAAAATGTAGATACACAATACAGAAAATTTTGAGACTTAAAAAAAAATTCTTACCTGATATAATGGGGTTTATAAAGTCTAGTTTTAGATACTTTGTGTTTTATTGATAAAACTTGGGGAAATCAAAAGTTTTTTAGTGTTACTTCTTAGGTAAAAAACAACTATTTTCTTTGATGATAGTTCAAAAGACTTACTTGGAAAATGAATATTTCAGCCATTTAAATGTGAGCTATTATATAATTTAATATAATGTTCACCTCTTTCAGACCTTCCCAGATAATCAGACCTGTTTGCAGATAATCATGACAAGTCTGTTAAAGAAAAAGTCTACTTGATTCACCATTAATCTGAGAGCATAATTGACTAGCAAGGAAATCCAAAACCAGTATCTTTAACATTTTATACTTCTAGGGTATTCCCGAGGGTGTGCCCAGCACACAATGCTGGGCCCACAGCGACCTGGGGCTAATTGATTATCTAAAAGAAACAGATGTTAAAAGTAAATGAAACTACCTATTTAAAATACACTAGGTATCAGCCAGATGTTGGGGGTCGGGGGGGTGGGGGGGTACGGATCAATTTGGTTTCCAACTGTGGTGATTTGTGTAATTAAATATCCTAGTTTCGCAAAGAATTTTTGAAGTTATTTTTTCCCAATTACGTGTCAAAATATTGCTTTTATAAGTACAGCCAGTCAAGTTTAAGATAATGCTCTTCATTTTAAATTAGATGCTACATGAGGACTTTCAACACCTTCAGAAAGCTTTGAGGCACTGTGTCAAGTTACGACGTCCTTTCTGAATAAGCGTGTAACTGCCCAAGAAATTACTTTGTGAAGCTCTTTCATGTGCAATGATGTTTAATTGGTTAAAACCAAGTGTGAGTTTCATGTAATAGAAATCCTCTCTCAACAAAAAAGGGAAAAGTGGAATTCTAAGTTATAAATTATTGTGCTTTATGATGAAAGTCACTTTGGAGCTCACACATTCAAGCTCCGGACCTCTTATACCACCTTGTTCCTATAAGGATGTTAACCTTACTACAGGCCAGGTAATAGGTATTTTAATTTGGACAGTAAGAATGTAAAACTACATTTTCATCTGTGTCTTTAAGGCTGGAACTTAGGGGCAATTGGACTTCAGGATTTGCAGATTCTCAGGTCCGTGCTGGCCCGGCTCCACTTAGGACCACATGGGACAACCCCTAGTACAGAACCACCCAGCGCGTGTGAATGCAGCGTCAATTCCTTAGGACAGCCGGCAATGCTTCTGTCCCGACATGCCCAGTGACACGCTCAGGAAGTTGGGACCATCACAAAAATTAGGGAACAGAGTCCTTTGAATGGTTCCCTGTACTTTATTACATTTTAAAATTTAAACTTAAGAATGAAAACCTGGGGGCTTCCGAGTTCACCCAGCCACAAAAAGGATGTATATAAGCTAATCTTGGACCATCAAATGCCTGCTAATTCAATTGCCTAGAATTCCAGTCATTAGCCAAGCAGTCTTCCAAATTAAGACATCCGGTCTCCTTCAATTTTCCACTTAAAACAGAACACAGAAGAATAGATCTGACCAATCAACTTAGGATAAAATTACCCATGAAAATGACTTATGCGCAGGGATTAGTAGCTGGCCAGCGTCTGAAGGAAAACCTTATGTGACCACTTGAGGTTTCATGGATTCACACACTTCTAGGGAATTACCTTCACATTTGTGATCGAGGTTGTAGAAACTGGGCCACACTTTTAAAATGTGCATTTAGTATCGTCTTAAATGACTAGAAGCAAAAATGTTTGCCCATTTCCATTTGAGTGACTGTAAGGCATTCTAATAATTTCATAAGCTCTGAATAGAGCTGACATTAAAAACAAAGATGCACACTTAGGATCGTGTAGTACATAATCACAATTAAAATAGCACACGAGAAACTGAGTTCATATAATTTATTGCAGTTAGCACACAGTTTAAAAATTCACCAACACACCAACAGTACAAAACTAAACAGCATTATAAGTTATTCCCCCCTCAGGAAAATAAAACATACTATGATTGTCAAAGCTAGATGTCAGTCTAAGTTTTAGAACAAAGGAAGAAGGTGAAACTAAGAGGAAAAAGTAATCACTCACAATGACCACAAAAAGAAAATTCAAAAGAAAGTCCGTTTTCTCACAGACATTGATTGTCTTCTCTAAATTAATAAAAATTACTTTAACATAAACTGTATTTAAAAAAAAACAAAACTAGAAACTCTTCAAGTAACTAAAGATAATGCTCCAAGGCCATTTTCACAGCTTTTTTTGTTTGTTTGTTTGCTTTAAATGCCATTACAGCCAAATTAACACACATTTGACCAAATATTTCCAAAACAGTCCAGCAACACACAATGGAGTTTTCCATTCAGTATCTTAAGCACAAAAATAGGCTATGTTTACAGTAGTTAAGGCGATCAAATTTTAAACAAAAGCAATTAAAAAAAAAAAAAAGGGAAAAACAGCAAACGTTTTCCATGCTACTCCCATAGACCTTATTTGTAAGTGCAAGACAGGAAAACAAACACTGTGCAAAATGCTCTTGCCCCGCGTGGTCACCACAGCGCACGCTGGGCTGCAGCCTCTGCCGCGATCCATAGTCTACTAACCCCCTTCCCCATGTCAATCAAGGCAGTCCAGTCCTTTCAGCCTGGGGCTTTTTCAGTCCATAGAATCTTTTCATGGGAGGGCGGGTGAGGAAGAAGGGGAGCAAAAAAAAAAAGAATGACCTATTGTCAATTTGTGCAGTAGTTACTCTAAAGATGCTCAACTGGGTATAAATGTGTACACCTAAACTTGGAGCTGGCACGGGTTCCGTGCCATCAGAAGTTTGTTATAAATGCACACTGCACATGCAAATCTTTAAGCCGTTTGTAAACATTTATATTTTCCTTGTTATGTAGCGAAGTTATCAATTTGCAGCTTACGTTTTTATTCAGCTTAACAGTTTCAACTTAAAAACAGTGGGAAAGTCGATTTAAATTATATAAAATAAAAATAAAAACAGTGCATTTACGTTCTTCATAACACCAGGTTATTTTCCGAATGGTGCTATTTTTTTTTCTAAGGAAATTAAATAATTTTAAACTCACTCGTTAAAGTTATACAATGCAAACAAAGACAAAAATATATCGAAACTCATGCATTTCTGTAGCGTTAATATTTACTCTTCAAGACTCAACTAAGAGCATCAACACAACCTGTCAAGTTCTTTGACACCCCCCCCAGCCCGTGTAATCAATTACAGTATACAATGACAGTAATTCACATTTTCAACACAGTTCAACACTGCTGAAGCTGCACTATCCTCTTCATCCCCAGCAAACCTTCACAAAGACAGGGTCCCAGTGACCCAGTGTACGCTCATCATTGCTCTCACTGGGAACCGTCAGAAAACCAGAAGTTGCCACAGAAAGTTTTAAGTCAACTGCTTGTTTAAAAATAGATAATCCAGCATTTCAGAAATTTTCCATTTGGGTCTAAAAGCATTCCCGTTTCCAACAGCCAGAAAAGATTCATGCAATTTGAGACATTGAAAGAGGCTAATAAGACTGGAGGGAATTTCTACTTCCAAACAAAAAAAGTGTGTGTGGGGGGGAAAGGACCTCGAGACAATGCAGTGTTGACAAAACGAAGCCCTATGCACGCCTTCTGCGATAGGACGATTTGTTTCAAAGGTTCTTATTGGCTTACTTCCCCTGCCCCTCAGAGAAAAACACCTCTCTATTCTCTGACTTCCCCTAAAGTTTCTTTTATCAGTATGCTAAGTTAGTGAGATTCTCATGCTATTCTAAAGTGCAAAAACAAGTTAATATCCCAACTTTTTAGTTCCAGGAAACAAGACTGCTTTTAGACCGTACCACAACTATATATATAGAGA